TACATCTCCCCATGCTCTGAAACCTGGGCAAGTGTGGGATTAATGCCTATCACCTGCCCTCTGCTCCAACACAGCTGGCAGCTTTGCTATAGTTTCATTTCCAGAATGGAAAAAAAAAGTAGTCGTAGCTGGTAAGACCTGACTAATGAACTTTCAGGCATTAGTGAATGAATCTTATTTAAAAAGTAATAGAAAAACAGTAACTCCACCATGCCTCACAGTACTGGTCAGCTTGCTCTGTCTTCTCTACAAGCCGCTTCCTTTTCCAAGGCACAACCCCACTGGTTCATGTAGCATCCTGAAAAATTAACGTTAACTCACTTTGGAGACTGGCATCAGCCCAGTCTGTGAGAAGCAGTTAACACAAACCATGTGTTTCCCTATCTCAGTGACAGTTAAAGTCTACAATTTCACACTCTCACTTAGAGGGAAAACAAAAACAAAACGCTGTGCCCTTTGGCCACTGTAATTCAGAAACTTCTGTCTCTTTGACCTGGGAATGCCACCAGGGAAAGCTGCCTGTGTCAGTGCCAGGACTTCACAGAGAAGGAAAGCAACAGGTAGCTCAAAGGGCAGCACAGCCTGCCTACAGCCTTTAGAAACCACGAACTCTTGAATTTGCAAGAGAGTACTGGATGGTTGTCTCTTGTGATTTTGTCCCACTTCTGACTCACCTGAGAACTGAGGAGCAGGGAGATGGTCAGGGAGCCTGTATTAGTGGAGTTCAGTGGCAATGGGAAGCAAGGAGGAGAGTCTTGTTGCCATGAGAGCAGTTTTTCCTGTATGTGTCCAGCCACTTCAGTTTTCATCGCCACTTGCCCTTTTTGGTGTGCAAAGTTCTGGTCCCCTGACAGGTAGAACCACTGCACAGAGAATTGGATCAACAGCTGTGGGTAGCTCAAGAATAATATAAATGACAAAACTGATAATTGCGAATACTGTTTCTGTCTCACTAAGGTCAGATATCTGTGCATGTCAAATCTGTGACCCCAGTCCATCCTGGCCTCCATGCTGAGAAAGAACAAAAGATGCCAGCATGTTTTTTTCTTTTGTCAAGAAAATAGAAAAGTACCTCTCTTAAAAAAATAATACCCCCACCCCCCAGCTAATTCATTCTCTCTTAACTTTTTCATGCTCTAGTGATCAAATCATTAAACAGCCCTCATTATTCATTCCAACTTCTGCCAGGGATATGAGCTCTGTATCAGAGAAACACCCCCTCACCATCATAATCATCATCATGACATCTCAGCAAGTTGATACAATTATGCCAGAGAACCATCCCCATAATTATACAGTTCTTTAGCTCATTTCTCAGTGTATTCACCATTACTATAATCATAGCGAGTACAGTGTGTTAAATTAAGAACAGGATCTACAGCTAACATCTCACAGGATGAAGAGTCTGCCTGCTGCAATTCTGCAATTCTTTACAATATAACTGCAAACCTCTCAAAGCTGAGGCTCATATTTTAGTACTTCTTTGTTTTTGAAACAATTGACATTTACATTTTAAGATACATATGAAGAATGGCATTTTACAGAGGAAGAAAGGGCAGACCTCGTTCCCACATAATTTCCAAAGTATTGTAGAAGAATTGGCAGGGCTGGAACTCACTCCCTAACTTTAGCTATTAGGCACAGGTTTGTATGCGTATGGTACATATAGTCATGGCCTGACGTCACAAAAGCATTTTTGCCTTTCAGCTGACAGTGATCACAAAGACAGCTTAGGCAAATAAAGTCTTAGCAGCTAATGATGCTTATTTGCCATGAGATTCTTTACATAAAAGACTGTGTCATTACTGTAACAAAATGCTTTAGTTAAAACATGATACTAGAAAACAACAGGCAAAGAAATACTTTTCTAAAGAGGCAATTTTCACAAAAGGCAAACTGAGGAGGGGATGAGGTGAAGGAAGGTTAAAACAGAAGAATCATAAAAATTTAAAGAGCCAAGTAGGAATCCTAGGGAACTTCATGCCTGTGGAGACAGTAACAGAATTCTCTTTAACAGAATGCAAGCAGACATACTAACAAGTTCTTCCTGTCTATTTCCATTTACCAAATCAGGCACAGCCAAGAAAATGTTGCACTTTGAGATTTCCAAGGAAGGCAGTGAATTATCAGTGGTGGAGCATGCTGAAGTGTGGCTCTTTCTGAAGGTCTCCAAGGCCAACCGGAGCAGGACAAAAGTCACCATCCGCCTGTTTCAACAGCAGCGGCAGCCAAAAGGCAACTCTGAAGGAGCAGAAGATACAGAGGATGGGGGGCTGAAAGGTGAAAGGAGTGAGACTTTGATTTCAGAAAAGGCAGTGGACACCCGTAAGAGCACTTGGCACATCTTTCCTGTCTCCAGTAGCGTCCAGAGACTCCTGGACCAAGGCAAGAGCTCTTTGGATGTCCGGATTGCTTGTGACCTGTGCCAAGAAACTGGAGCCAGCCTGGTGCTATTGGGCAAGAAGAAGAAAAAGGAAGATGATGGGGAAGGGAAAGAAAAGGAAGCTGGAGAATTCACAGGAGAAGAGGAGAAGGAGCAATCACATCGGCCTTTCCTGATGATGCTTGCCCGGCACTCAGAGGACCGCCAGCACAGGCGGCGGAGACGGGGCCTGGAGTGTGATGGCAAAGTCAACATCTGCTGCAAGAAGCAGTTCTTTGTCAGCTTCAAGGACATAGGATGGAGTGACTGGATCATTGCACCTACAGGTTATCACGCCAACTACTGCGAAGGAGAGTGCCCCAGCCATATAGCAGGCACATCTGGTTCATCATTATCTTTCCACTCCACTGTCATCAACCATTACCGCATGAGGGGCCATAGCCCCTTTGCCAACCTCAAGTCATGTTGCGTGCCCACCAAGCTGCGGCCCATGTCCATGCTCTACTATGATGATGGCCAGAACATCATTAAGAAAGACATACAGAATATGATTGTGGAGGAGTGTGGCTGTTCATAGACACATGTGTGTGCAAGACCCTTCTCGTTAAGTTGAGAAGAAAATGTATCAAAAGCCCAAGAAGAGGAAAGACCAGACATTTTTTGAATGAAACAATAATCAGAAATAAAAGCAAAAATGAAAGAGAGAGAGAGAAAAGGAGAAAAAAAAAAAAAAAAAAAAGACTATGGAGGACCAGAAAAGACTTCAGCTATAAAAAGGAAGAAAGCTTCATGAACCCGGGCTTGAATGAGATACGTCTGAATGGTGGTATGGGTTGGGGAGTTCCCCTTCCTTTCAGTATGCTCCTTATCTTATTACATAGTATATTAAACATTAGTTATTACTAAGGGAGTTATGTTCCCTCCCTTAGTTACCCATCAGTTCAAGCCGTGGTAGCAGCTCATCTAACCTGCAGCAATTTGGACTAAGTCCAAAATGTCATTGAAATTCCTTGAAAAGCCATGTGTATGAACACTACATTCACTGGCACTTTCCCCCCAAATTTACCGAGGAACTGAGTAGGTGTGTAGTGTTTGTGTGTATATATATATGGCTATGTATTTATATGCATATCTCTATACATACAGACACTATACACATACATATACTTAACAATGGTAAAGGGACAATATTGTGCAGGTGTATACACCTTCATCTTCTGCACTACATTTACAAAAAAAAAAAAAAGAAAAAAGGAAAAAGGAAAAATGAAGAAAAAAAACAGAATAAGAAAAAGAACGAATGAAAGAATAAAAGTTACATTTTGTAAAGGTGCTTACAATGTTAGAACTATGCAACCTAGTTGGTTTGAAACTGTTTACCTGCGAAAGAAAGAAAAAAAAACAGAAAGACTTTTTTTTAAATGGAAGTAACTTGTTTTAAAAAAAATTCTTCAGTGAGAGATACTTGAAAGGAACATGTTTGTCCAGTTACTGGAGCCAAACATTTCTATATTTTGTAAAAAAAAATTTTTAATCGTTTACTATTTGCACTACAATGGTGTCTGACCTGTCTAATCCTTATTTAACAAATATTTGCAAGGGAGGGTGGTTGGGTGTGGGAGGGGTTGAGAGCTGCACTTATTGTGAGCTATACAAGAACTGCTACAGCACACAAAATAGCTATTTTTATTATTATAATAATTATTATTATTTTGTACCTTAAAATGAATAGACACATACACCAAAGACATTTGTGCGAGCCTCTAAAAAGTCTGTTTGTGGTTGGTACCATTCACCTGTAATAAGTTAGGGTTTGAATTAAGGGTCAGTGGGTTGATTACATTCAGGCTAGAATATCTGTTAACCAGTTAAATTCAAATAGTGCCCTCAACAGAAAATTGCCATTTGAAGTAAGCCCAGAAAAGTCCTGGGATTTGGATCCAAGGTGCTAGGATCCGAGGTCCATCTAAGCATAATTGTACTCTTTTGCATGTACAACACTAAGACTTGCCCCTGATGCACAGCAACTGTGCATTGTTGGGAAACAACTTTATACAAGGGATATACATATATATATATATGTATATATTTCTGTATGTATATATGTATGTATACACAAGGTATAAGCACTTCTGGCTTCACTTTAATGTTCTTAAAACAATGAATGTTTTGTGTGCAAAGCACAGTATGTTAAAAGATTGTTTGTTTGTTACTACCAAGTGGGAGGATACACATGGAAAATGGTATTTGAGTGAGCGAAACCTAAAGTGCTGGTGTACACTCAGAAAGTCTTGATGTAAAATTGCAAGCAGCTTTGGGCCCTGCCCACCATCGCCCCTGCAAATATACAGAAAATGGCAGTTGTGGTAGGATTTCTGTTTGAAATGCAGTCTTCAGGAAAAGACTGCTTGTCTCAACCACCACCCTCTAGCATGGCAACTCTTAATGGGTTTGCACGTTACCTGTAAGACCTAATTTTCAGTGTCAACACCTAACCTGAAGGGTCCAACCCATAGGGCATAGGTAGATAGTTTTTTTAAAAAAAATTCTATCGCTGTCATATTTAAACGAATGTTAAAATTACAACATTTGTCTTTGGGTAGGGGGAGATGATAAGAGGGAATGGGAGAAACCTTTAGGCCCTGTTTACACTGCGTTTGATAACCCTGAGCCTGAAGCTTCAGACTCTCACAGGTTTGCAGGACCAAGCCCCTGTTAGCTGCCTTCTGACGGGACAGGCTTCAAAACGCCTCTCACAGAAAGAAGCACTAACGCGGCTCCCCACCTTGTTGAGAGCACAGCCTCTAAAAAAAAAAATTTAAAAAAAAAAAAAAAAGATAGCACAATTTAACCCGGTCACATTGGCTAGGGATAGCATGTTAGCACCTTCATGGCGAGAACTATGTTTAAACAGTGTAATCAGGGCCTTCATTTTTTGTCAGCCAAAACTGTTTGTGTGTGCATGTGTGCGTGGGTGTTCTCTGTGTGTGCATATGTATGTGCGCGTGGGCGCATGTCCATATTTGTACCTATCGATAGAGATTTAAAAAAAAAAAAGAAAAAAAAGAAAAAAAAAAGAAAAGGAAAAAAAAAAGCCCTTTCCTCCGTTGAATAGATATCAACATACATGCTTATAGCTAAGTTTTCTATCTAATTTATTCCACAGTATTTAGATTGCATAGTACAGCTAATGGGTTATACATTTATGTACTTTTTATACAATGCATTTTTTTACAGACTTGTTTGCAATTTGCAAAAAAAAAATTTAAAAAATCATAACAATCGGGTAAACACTAAATTTGTCACTAAAGTATTCTGTAAAATATCAAGGCTTTCTGATTTAAATTATTTGCAGAAGTTTGTTGGGTTTTTTGTGTTTTCTTCCTGGGGAAAGGGAGGGATACCAAAAGCTAGTAGGAAAATTAAAAAAAAAAAAAAAAAAGATGCACAACTAATTTATGTTTATGACTTAAGCAAACCAAGTTCCTGAACCTGCTTCATTTGAAGCAAGTGGCAGAATTACTGTTGATTTTTCTAGCAGTAGAGCCAGGCTCTGGAGCAGCAGGAGCGGGGACATAGTCTGTGACAGCTGTTCAGGAGAGTACCTTTTATTTCACTGGGCTTTAGACTTGGCCTTAAAATTGGATGCATATTGTGCCAGAATCCTTACTCATGTCAACAGGCTCTTTGACATCTACTGGTCTCCTTACAAGAGTAGTAAAACTACTTACATGAGTAAAGGTAAGCCAGGGTAATCACAGGTTCCTTTTGCTGTGGGCAGTGTGAAGGGAGAGAAAAGATCCTGAATGAATGGCACCATATCCAACAGTGTTTAACTCAATTATTTAAACTAGGCTGCTCACATCATGGTTGATCTCTGAATGTAGTTGCAAGGGAAGCAGGTGAGATGGCTCATGTTGGTAAAAATTATTATTAAGTGGGATTAGTTAAAGAGCATTGGAGACCTGAAACCCCAGCGCCTTCCCCTGAATGACAATGGCAAAACTCCCATTGGCTGCAAGCAGACTAAGTTTAGGCTCATGGTTTTCTTGGCCAAAGCATAAATAGCCTTTAAAAAGAAGTCTGACTTCTGACTGGCCCTGGAAAACAGGAAACTAGTCTGAGAAAAATTCCAAGTGAGAAAAAAAAAGGATTTTAGAAGTGGTGAGCATGTTTCGTGTTAGATACACCAAAAACAGAAGAAGGATTTCAAATCAAGATGTAAATGTTCCTAAGCCGTGCTTTTTAACTTTCATTTGTGTGTGTATACTAGTCACAAATTTTAAATCTCTCCAATCTCTAGATTCAGTCATGGGGTTTTGATTTGTGGTCAGAGTTATTTAAAGTAGGGGGAAATGAAAAACTATATGATAAAATAAGAAATTGGGATGTTAATCAAGACTGACTGATTTCAACAAAACACCCCACCCCCAATAATTTGATTTAATTAAATCTGCATGCACTTAAAATAGCATTAGAAATTGTTACCATATTTAAACAGTTGTTCAAGGGCATGCAGTCTCAAAAATTACTTCTCCTTTCAGGTATGACTATACCAAAAAAAGAGGCTTTTAACTACTAACACATTCCTTTCCATACAACCTACTTCCTGTTTATATTGAAAATGTATTTTCAATATATATTTGAACACAGAAATGTATTTATTTAGTATCTCCCCAATCTTCTTGCTTCACAGTTGACCACATTTGGTTGTCTTTCCCTCTCTCCATGTCAGATGCTCACTGGAAACAAGGCCTAAGAAACTGGCAGAAGTGCACGTTAAGATGTTTCTTTGGGAGGGCTGAATGTATTTGTATTCTTGGGGGTTAGTAAAAGGAAACGCTTACAGATGCTTATAATTATTCCGCACTCATATGTCACAGCAGAATACTGATCTAGGGCCCAAAACTGCAGAACTGAACGAAATGGGAGTTTTGTCATTGACTTCAATAGAAACAGTCTCTTACCAAATCATTGCGAAATAGGACTCCATTATATATACCTGCTTTTTTTATATTTAGTTGAGATTTAAGCCATCAAGATCATTTAACTGTGACACCACAAGGCCACGTAAAGGCTAGCAGCAATATCTCTGAGGCAGAAAAGTTCAGGCATCTGTAAAGTCTATGTGCAAAATGGAAATTTTTATGGACTACAGTTACTCGTGTGGAATAGTGCCTTACTCTGTAAGCAATGCTGTTGATTTCAGAGGGTCTCCTTTCCTAGAAAGTTGCCAGTCAGCATCAATAAAGTGAGAAAAATCTATTTCTGGAGTGTAGGTCAACAGATATGATGGAAATGATTAAGTTACTTTAAGTTAAACCTCATGTCAGTAGTGTGCATCAGTATAAGAATCAGATGCTAATCACTTTCCTTACACTGAAAAAAGCTTTACTCCCTGTCTGCTCTCACTGCATTACATGTGGAGTAAAAAGATTTTCAGTACGAGTAAATAAAATCCTAATTTGACCTTTCATGAACAACTAATAAGCAACATTTTCATGGGCAGAAACAAACAACACTTCTGGATTATATAGCTATTTATTTTTTGAGATATAGTGAATCTGTGTTAATTCT